CTACAAGTAAGCTTCAAGTGAAATTGATACATTACATTGTGCATTTCCACCGGTTAAAGATACCATACCTGGATGGAGGAAAAATACTTCCAGAGAAGATGCCACATCTACCTATGAGACAGATAAGGCAAGTGAAAACGATATCACACTTTGATACTTAGAAGTTTCGTAATTACTCAGCGGCTTGGATCTTGCAATTCCCCAACCAAGGAGCTTCCTTCAGTCGAGAACTTAGGGGAGCATGGTTTGTACCATACTTGACCAATCTCAAAACTACCAAGCACCGATCAACGTTATACCATCAAGGACCCAGAAAAGTTTCCCTCCAACGAGAAGCCAATCACAGCGCGACACGTGTCAACATCAGAAGCCAATCACGACACGACACGTGTCAATATCAGAACAAAGCTAGAAACTCTCTTCTATTAAAAGAGATCATTCTCCCACAATATTTTCTAATGTCATTTGTACTAAATCATTCACTAGTACTCACAAAAGGAGAGCTTGAACCTATATACTTGTGTAAACCCTTCACAATTAATGAGAACTCCTCTACTCCGTGGACATAGCCAATCTGGGTAAACCACATACATCTTGTGTTTGCTTCCTTGTCTGTATCTATTTACATACTTATCCATATTAGTGACCAGAGCAATCTAGCGAAGGTCACAAACTTAACACTTTCTATTGTACCAAAGTCCTCATTGATTTTGTGCATCAAAATTTGGCGCCGTCTATGGGAATCGCACTTATTCCTACTCTCTTCAGCTTTGTCAAGCTGGTTTCCACCATTCGTACACTCTCTTTTGACCATGCACCCCTCTCTAACATAGGGAGCGAAGGAAGCCACAGCATGCAGAACGACACCCCTTCGCACCTGGTGCGAAGCAACGAAAGAATGAACAAAAAAAGTTTGCTCTTCAGGTTAAAGTCAATGAGCTGGAAGCTCAGAACAAAAAGATAGCGATGAAGAATGAGATCCTCCAAAAGCAGTATGAAAAGGTCTTTGAGATGCTCCACGAGGCTAGATATACTAAAACACATGAGCTCATCACCCCTGTGGAAGTCAACCATCAACTGGGGGATTTACCCCTATGAAAAAGTAATTTGCTTCTAGAAAGAGATAAAGATTATCGCTTACAATAGTATTTCTAAGGTATTGAAAGGTTGAAGACCTTCTAGCAAATACCTTAAATGTGGGGGATTTACCAAGTATAGATAAATTACGTAGTAAGTCCTAGCTAATAAATATTTGGAGGATTTAACGTCGGAAAACAACTACTCTTGAATGAAATATAATTTCATAAATGGAAGTGCGCACCATAAGAGATAGACATCAACCTAGTGGATCTAATTAATTAAAGGTTTCACTAGAGAGTAAGATGTACCATCGAGGAGAATGGGTTAAAAGCCCGTAATTAGAGAAGTCATAGTGGAAACCCAACCTAGTTGACTGAAGATTCCAAAATCTAGGTTCAAAAAGGACAACTAAATTATGACAACTTGGAGTAGCACTGCGAAGATGTTTATATTCTCCTTCTACCCATGTCTCATAATGATAACAATGTTGCCTGCCATTGAGACTAGGTTAAGCTTTATGTTTTTAATGATTCTTATAGCTTGGAAGACTTAAAAGTCTAAGTGGGGTGTTGCAGGATACTCTTAATGGGAAGTCACCTATCTTGAGTGAGGAATGAGGTCATTCCTGTGAGAATTTTTCTAAAGGGCGAGAATTGTTTAGAGCCAAAATGAACACAAATGAGTAGCCATGGGGTGTCTAGAAAGGTATTGTGTGATTATTTTGGTCTTGGTTTACACAAACGATTGAGTATTTCAAGACATCGCGTTCACTGATTAGCCAAGTAAATCTAATAATAATTCACTACAGAAGGTTCAAAGCCAAAAGCTACCTATCTCGATGCAATACTTTTCCTACTAAATTCTCTCTCTAGTGTCTACATTATAATTAGCATAATGTTGAGTCAATTTCCATTCATGTGGGGGATTATTAGAAAATTTAAATTATTATTTCTTATAATATTAAATTTATTAATTGAATGGAAATTAGAAGTTGAGTCTTTTGGTAGAAGGATGTGTCTATTCGAATGAAAAGCTGTAACTTTTGACTCTTCATGAATAGTCACATGTTTTCCAAAGAGGTATCTCAAAATCTAAATAGGGAAGCCTCCTATAAACATAAAAAATAAATAAATAAAATTCATTGTTTACATAATTATACATAGAGTGCACTAATATTAAAGAACCTCATTGAATCCATATGCGAGAGTTTTCAACACAATCGTATTTCATGGAGCCTGGTGATTAGGAGTGCTATTATTACAAGGACGTGATCATTGTATTTTGGGAAACAAGCGTCAATCAACCATAAGCACCATAATGACGCGTATTTCAGGTTTTTCTAATCCATTATGTCATGTTCATTTAACATTAGTTACTCATGTGCATGCATTAATTTTGATATATAATTGCATGAATTATTTCTTAATTTTCTATATGATTTAATATAACAATTAAACCATATATTTCCAACACAATTCTTGCCTGAAAGGAAGACTAATACAAGGCCAATTAACGCTCCAAATTTCATGTTGAGCGCTCCAATTGCTTTTTGAGATTTTTCTGTATGATAAATAATAATTCAGTTATGGACTTATGAGTGTTTCAAGATGTACATGGTGTTTATATATAAGTGAAAACTACAAAACCAATATAATTTTCGAACGATCATATATGGTAGGTTGACTTTTTTTTTGTTTTTTTTTTTAACAAACGATATTATCTACATTAAGGGGGAGCGGGTGGGCTTGGCCTCACAATTGGTTAGCAATGATGTGGTTCAAATTCACCTTTGGCCAGAATCGAACTTAAGACCTCTCACTTACAAATAGAAAGAAATACCACTAGATCGTAGTACTAAGTAACTGGTCCGTTAACTTAATAATTTTCAAATGATCATCGCATGAAACTGCTTTCATAGATTGTTGTGAATCGAAACGTTTCTTTTCTTATCCTTACCTATATAAAAGTGCAGTCTGGAAAAAGTCTCATACAGGAGAACAAACTTAAAGAAATAGGGATCTGAAAAATATTAACTTCTTTCCTTTTTAGTTTTCTTTGCACAACCCATAGGCATATCCATGCCTCATCCATCCATCAGAAAAGGAAGGGTAAATTACAGTTTGCACCCTCTAGTTTGGGTATAATTGTAATCTCATTCAACATCTTTAAAACATTTCAATTTTATACGTTACTTATTATTTTATTTCAATACATTCGCTAGTCAAACTGTTAGTTTGACCATTAAGTGACTGTGTGGCAATTGCAGGTCCCACTATTTTGCTGACGTGGTAGTCAATAATATGCCACATGGGACAAACAAATTTTTTTTTTTTTAGAAATGTAATTCTAAGAAAGACTAAAGGGAGACTTTGGATGCGGTTCTTAATTATGAATATTCTTTGATTGAAACCTTATTGGTTTTTAATTTTGGATCGAGGTCCCTGAAATTAATGTGTTAATTTATTTCTATGTACGTTACTATATTTTTTAAATTAAAAATTAGAAATTTTAGTTGTTTATATAAATGAGATTTTAAATAAAAAAACATAATTTGTGGGATTAAAAATATTAAAATATAAATATACTATTTTTTTTGTGTGTGTATATATATACATGGGTACATTCATCAAAATTAACCAAAAAAATTATTGTATCAAAGCATGGGTACATTCTTCAAAATCACAAAAATAAAAAAATAAAGATATTAGGCTTAATAACATTAGTAAATTTCTTCGATTACTTGACATGGATACATTTTAAAATCAAAGTAAACAAGAATGTACCCATATAAGTTTAAAAATGGATTAAAAAAATTGAATAGATTTTATATAAAAAATGGTACATTTTACATATAACAAATTGGTATATTTAAGAATGAGTACATTTTAAGATTAAAAAGTTTTACATGAATGGGTACATATAATTAGCATGGGTACATTTAGCAAAAATAAAAAGTACAAATAAAAATATATATATGGGTACAAATACAAATAAACTTTAAAAAATATGGGCACAAAAAGAAATTAATATATGAGTACAAATTAAATCTGAAAAGAAAATTGGTACAAGTTAAAAAAGAATTACAAATTAAAAATGGGTACAAACTAAAACTAAAATATATGATAAAAAAATTTAGTCATAAATATAAATATACTAATTGTAACATTTTTAACATTAAATGAATATATTTAGAAATAAAAAAAATTATTATTGAAATAATTAATGATGTTATTAATACTAAAAGACCTTGATCAAAAATTGAAAATGAATAGGATTTTAATCAATGGAGTAGCAAAAGGAATGATAAGAACATTAATTTCTCCAAAACTAAAATATGATTTTTTTTTCTAAAAAATAGTGGGCCCCACCCTATAAATCTTCAACCCCTTCTTCCTCGTCCTACCTTCTTCCTCCCTGCAAATCTCTCGCACTACACGACTCCCTGAACTTCCTCCCTCCGTCGCCTCGCCCAACACACTGCAAATCCCTGCAATTAATGAAACCCAGCAAATCCAAATCTAAATCTCTCGCTGCAACATCTCCCCAAACCAATTCACAACCCATCATTCTCTGCCCCAACCCATAAATTTTCATTTTTGTGCTTCTGGGATGGAGATCAACGAATCTAGAGTGGGATGTGTATAGGTGGGGGTTCAAGAAAAAAAAACTGACACCATCTGGTTCCAGATGGGTTTGCCATTGAAGGACAAGAAGAATAGGAAGAACCCACCCATCTCAGAGCTGTCACCATGGCAGAGCCGCCATCAACTCTTCCGTCGATTCACAACAAGACCCACCGTTCTCTCTCCCACGTGTCCACTTAGGTTTCCCTATTTCAACCATGCCAGATTTCAACAACGAAGGCTTTCGATTTTGACGGATTCGAGAATTTTTCAGATTTAATTTGTACTCATATATATGACCATGTGAACGATATATATAACCTATATATACACATCTTGTACATATTTTAGTACTCAAATCTCCTAATTCACTCTTGGACCCCAAAATGCAGGACTCCACAACTGAATTCCCAATCCCAATCCCATTCCCATTCCCATTTCCCCTTTCCAGATCCGTCGACGCACAAACGCACTCTCATCGACTTCCGTCTCCTGTTGCCGTCCCATGCACCGACTCTAAATATGCTTTAACCAAATCAGTACGGCTTCTGCAGGTACATAAAGATATCCTGCAGCGGCGACATCTCATTCCCGCTCTGGAACTGCGCTCCGAACCCGTTCTCCACCGTCGTATCCATGTAACTGTACGGCATTTCCAGCGCCTTCTCCCACTCCTTCCACTTGGGCTCGCTCTGCACCTCGCACGCCAACTCCGGCGACACCACCTGCTCCGAGCAGCTCGAGTCCGTGTGCAGCTTCGGCACCGAGTCAGAGTTGTCGAAGTACACGTAATCGCTCACGTGACGACTGGGGACCACGGAAGCCGGCGGCGGCGGGCACCTCAGATTATCCGGCTTCCTGTCCTCGAACTCCGAGCCACTGCTCGCGTTACGACTAGTCGTTCGCTGTTGTTCTTGCTGCTGCTGAGGCTGCTGGTTCTCCACGGTCCCCTTCTTGTTGTATATTCGGCACAGAACCCAATCATCCAGCTGTAAAATCAGACCGTCCATCAATATCGAAAACAATTGTTAATCAACTTGCTAATTCATTAAATTAAGTTAATTAACCAAATTAAATAAATCCTAACCACAAATAGAATCCCCCTATTTCAAACCACGCCAAATTTGAATTGCTGCGATTTGGTCATGGGTGAGGGTGTGGTGTCGAGGGTTAACGGTGACAAAGAGAAATGTTGTTGGTGGTTATTGAAGATGGGGTTGATCAGAGAGAAAAGAGGTGTGGGGATGCTGGATAATGGATTAAAGAGGGAAGATGAGTCGAGTGCAGGTGCGGTGGGGTGGGGGGTGATTAATATTTTTTTGGATATTGTAATTATTTATTAAATACTTTAAATAATAATAATTTTTTAAAAATTTTTAAAACTTTTTTATCCACATGGCACCAAGTTGACATCCACCTCATTAAAAAATGAGTCTCATATCAGCTACATCATCACTTAAAAGCCAATCCAACAAATTATGTAACGGATTTTATGAAATTGCAACTAAATCATATTTGGTGTATCAAATTGTAATTTTGTAAAGATTATGTATGAGGTTGTAATTACACCTATACTTGAGGGTGCAAAATGTAATTTACCCAAAAAGGAAAGAACGTATTTTCCTTTCATGACTCTAGCACTTTGCGAATATTTCAAACCTATCTACAAACATATAATATGTACCTATATATTCTTCCAATTTTTTTAAACGATCTAGTACGATAACGTTAATGAGTTAAATAGTTAGTTGTTAGGTGAGAGAGAAATCGGATGGATCAAACCCTCATAGGCTGCATAGGCATCATTGTTTTCCACTGCTGCAATAAAACGTCACCTAAGTGGTGCATAGTTAAATAATCAGTATTTGTTTTTAATACAACGATATATTTACATTAAGTGATATGAGATATGATTAAGCCACACAATATGGGCGTTATAAATTCGTATAGCCATCGACGACAATTTAAACTTAAAATTGTAGAAGAATACCACTTTTCCGTAATAATTAAAGAAAAATAATTGATATTGTTAGTCACAAATTTTCTCATCAAATGAATCCTAAAAAAAGGCACATCTGCTTTAGCCAACATGAGCAACATTTTCTACAAGGGCATCTCCAACAGGCGCTAAATGAGGATTTTTGCTATTTTACCTAGCCATTAGAGAAGAGTGGAAGTCCAACAGGCTAGCTATCAAGCTAGCTATTGGCTTGATGAATAGTTCCTAGCTATTGTGGCGAGCATGAGTGAGAAATTAACTAGCTAACTAAACCGAAAATACAATATTTGTATTGTACGCTCTATCTCTCTTCAACAACAAGCAATGAAGATGGTGGTGGATTGAATTGCAATGTTGGTGGTGGATCAGACTTGCGACAGAGCTGGTAGATTGGATCATCGACGAAAAAAAGAGGTGAAAAAGGGCAGAGACGACGGGGAATCGCCACTGATAGCTATGACGATAAAAACGGATCGATAAGATCTAGGAGGATGGAATTTCGAGTGACCGATGAGATCTGAAGTCGGTTGAGACTGAGAGACAGCCCGCGGAGGAAGAAAGTCTTAAGCGACTAGATAGATGACAAAAAATGATGAAAGCGGTGGTGGAGGTCGAAGCCGGAGATGCTTCGTGTTACAGATATGAGAATAAAATCTCAAACCATAAATTGGGATAGGGAGTATGATGTGCATGGGTCGATCACATCACCTAATCACCATTATGATCCAGAACATCAAATGAAGTAGATCCAGCAAATCAAACAGCTCCCTTTCACATATAGATCCAAAATTGGCAGCACACCAAAACAAAAATTAAAATCATGCATTCTCTTAAAGAGAGCAATCAAATAAGCAAACTCTTTTACAAAGAGAAATCAAACCAAATTCCAGGACAATTCCTAAAAATTATTAAACAGAAACAAAAAGGATAAAGTCATGTAGCCGCTCCACATCTTTCGGACATTCGTATGTTATGTCACTGCACCAGCAAAACCCAAAGTGTCATACTGACTAAACTCAATCCCAACGCAGTTCGACATCTCACATGGCTTCCCATTTCAACCCTATATCAAATGTGATAATTAGATCCAAAGTCTTTTGTTAACTCTGTGTGTGGACCAAAAGACGACGACTATCAAGGTGACTACAGCGATTCACGACGACAATTCAACTCCAAATAAAGTAAACTAAAAGTGAGGGTGAAGAAATGAAGAATGATTTTCAAAAAGATTGTTGCCGACCCCAAAGCCAAAAACAGGAGTCGGCCGCAAAGAATTTTTCCTTTGATTTTTCTCTAGATGGCTTATTTTGGAGTCTTAGTACCTATGTTGTTATCTGCTACTATAAATAGTAAGTGTTGCAAAGAAAAAGAGTCATTGTAAAAGTTGTATTTCTTAATAGCCAGTCCTTTGATTCTTCTTGATCCTTTCTCGTGTATGACTCATCTCGCTTCCAGAAAAGTTATGGAGTCAACGGAATCTCAAGCTCCCGGCCACCACACCATCTCGGGGATGATGTCCACTAACATTGGAGATCTGTTACAAGCCAACCATGACAGTGTACCGTCGTCGGTAGCATCATGGGTAGCCAAGGAGCTCGCGTGCCTCAACCTGGAGGTGGAAGACGATTGAAACAACATGTCATTTGGTCAGATGACTCAATTTGGCCCACGCCCACAGCACGGCTCAAAGTCGCGGCTCACTCGAGTTATGGTTTTTTAATACCATTTTTCATACTTATGTTAATGCACTTCCCAATGATATGTAAACAAGGTATTTCTGGTCCTTTATAAAATTAAAAAAAAAAATTAATATATATATATATATGTGTGTGTGTGTGTGTGTGTGTGTGTGTGTGTGTGTGTGTGTACACACCATCATGTAATCAATCATCTATGATTTGGGAAAGGAATACTACTATTTCATTGCTACAAATATGGATTATTGAAAATAAATAAATAAATAAATGAACATGTATTGGGATATTCCTCTTCAACTCTTAGTTTCCACACACACATATATATATATATATATGGATGCAAATTTCCGTCGTATTCTCCTTTGACAAAAATGCATCTGCAAAATAATAACACCTAAGATTAAGGCCAAAAGCCTCACGCACCCACGATGAATGGGGGGCTTTAGCCGAAGAATCTCCGATGCCAAAGTTAGAATTTGAGAAAGAAAATGTTTAGGAATTTTTTGGGAGAGAATGGCCTAGCATTTTAGTGGGAAAACATGGCTATTTATAGGGAAGTGACCAGCCCTATTTGGAGAATAAGGGCCGACCACGTATGGCCAAATTGTGAGTGTAATTGCAAGATATTATGTGAAATAATATCTTGCAATTAACTTGACAGTTAATCCCAAATTGAATAGGAAAATTGGGAATTACCTTTTGAGTGACATTTTAATGAGGAGTGATGAGAGGGTTTTGAATAAATACCATTTTGATCAACTTTGACTCTTCTTTGATTGAGCCGTTATTATCCGTTGTATTCATGTGGGAATCCTGGTGTGTCTCGAGGGTAATTTTGTCTTTCTTACCCAAAAGTCCACGTGTCATCTTCATAATTTTCTTGATTATTTTTGGATCCACAAATGCCTCCGCACCTATTGGGCTGCTCGCAGGAAAGGGCAGTAGGTGTAGAGATTTCCAACTTTGATGCAAGTTCCCACTTGGCCTTGGAATTATATTCTTCTAGGAAAGGAAAATAAATCGCCTCCAAAGCCTATATAAGCCTACCTTAAGTATGGGATTAAATCAACTTCAGAGGGCAATTATTTATCCCTACAAGAAAGAGAGAAAGCTAGCAGATATTTGTTCCCCATCCCCTAGCACTCTTCTTTGCTTGCCCATGCAAAAAATCGTCTTCTGTTGATTTCTTTGTCTTTTTCTTAGGTAGTGTTACCACGGGGCAGCCGTCGGGTTAGTATGGCACGTCGGCTGACAAGGGCCAAGAGTCGGCTTGGCATAGGCCGATGAGGTAGTGTGGCAAAGGCTACAGCTTTTGCTGCTTGGCTTGATTGATGCCAAGGGCTAACTCAGCATAAGCCGAGGAAGTGGCATGGCATGGGCCACGGTTTGGGCTGCCACGTCTAGGTTGTTTGCTAAGAATGAGAAAACTGCTTTAGTTTGATTTCTCAGATGTTGTAGATGGAGCAACCAACGACGGAGTTGCTGAAGATCAAGTGTCAGATTAATGAACTGTTGAGTGTAAAGTGGCTACTGCCCCTGACTATCTGTTTCTTAGTGAGTCTTCGAGTGTTCGATCTTTTAAGCTGTGTGGCCTTCTTGCACTGAAGAGCAATTATTTTATCTTCTCGTACTGGAGAGCAATTAGTTTATCCTCTCGAACTGGAGAGCAGGCCCATATGGGTGTCGCGGAATTGGTTTACTCTCTCGCATTGGAGAGCAATTAGTTTACCCTTTCGTACTAGAAAGCAGACCCCAATGGGTGTCGAGAAATTAGTTTACCATCTTGCACTGAAGAGCATGGAAGTCATTGTTGTCAGTACAGCTAAGGAAAACTGGATTGCTAAACAACTAAAATAATCCTTAGCTCGTGAGGTCTTGTTCGGCAATATACTTGAGACTTTGAACTGCTTGTGGAACCATCGTAAAGGTGTACAGGAGAAGCGCGGTGAGCTGCTCCCAGACTTTCTTCAAGTATTGCATCATCATTAGATGTTTCATCATGTGCCCTTTTAAAGCTTGGTTGGTGATCAGCTGTGAATCCGAATAGATTGCAAGCTTCTTCACTGCTAAGTCTTTCGTTAGCAAGGGCTGGTAATAAAGCCTTGTCTTATGCTCTGTCGTTGGATACTTTGAAGATTATAGTGCCATGGGCTTGGTCGGCGCAAGCCACTTGGCAAGAGCAGCACAGCTGAGAGCCGTGGTGCAAGATCAGCACAGTTAGGAGCCATGGTGACATATTAAGGGCTGCCGGGAGCCGTGGAGCAAGTAAGCACGGTTGTGAGCACAAAGTTGGGGTTTGCTTAGGCTAGGTTATACGCAGTAGGAGGAATTGGACCATTAGGTCTGTGATGCTCAGCTACTCGACTGCCCTCGATTCTTAGTAGTTGGACTGGTGTGTCCTTCT